CCCCCCATCATCTTGCAAAGAGGCCCTGGCGGCGGGGCCTCCCTTGGAAGGGGATGCTGGCTGGCTTCCTGCATCCCTCTGCTTTCGGGTCCCTCCTCCTTCCCCGGGGGGGGGGGAGATTGCCTCACTAAGCCAGCAGGGATATGTTAGCCTGACCCTTTGGGGATGGCCACCCACCCTCTTCCAGAGACAAGAGTATAGGACTGAGGCCGCAGGTCTGTGCATGGCATGACCAGTAGAGCCGTGATGAATTTCTGGAGTCCGGACTACATAAACGTCCGAGACTAATGCACAAGGACTGTTAGCAGTTCCGGGGGTGGTGGGTGGTGGTGGTGGTGTCAGGGCATCTGGTCTGCCGCCATGTGTGACACCCTTAACCTGACATGGGCTTCTCTTCTTCCAGGCGGCACCCTAAAGACCTTGCAGGAGGCGGATGCAGAATCCCTGCAGGCTCGGTGGTGGAACAGGGAGACGCCCACTCTCCCGCTACGTGCCCGGGACATCTTGCCTCTGATGGAGCTGGCGCTGCAGTATCGGGCCAAGGCCCCCCACCCGCCCACCCTGCCTGTTGAGCTGCCTTGCTCGCTCATCTGCCAGCGCCTCCTGCTGGTGTTTGTGGGCCCCGGCAACGCCCTGTGGGTGCTCCTGGGCACGACGGGGGCTCCGCATCTGCCTGTGGCAGCCAGCGGCTTGTCTCGCGCGCAACAGAGCCACAGGCTGCTGGTGGCTGTGCAGCGCCTTTTACAGAAATGCCTGCCCCAAGCCCAGGCCGCCGTCCGTGTCCGTGGCCTGCTGGGGCTGCAGCATCTGGGTCGAGGACCCGGGCACAGTGACGGCATCTGCTTCAATGTGGTGGCCGTGGTTGGGGACCCAGGCCACCCGCGACAGGAGAGCCCTCCGGCCTTGCAGAGCCAGGCGTTCACCTGGTGGAAGGTGGAGAACGAGGCCCTGAGAAGCAGAGCCCTCCACGCGCTCCACACCGATGCCTTCCTCCCTCTCCACAGTTACCCCTGAGCCACAGATGGGGGTCTTGTGAGGACGAGGGGGCTGCGGCCGAGGAAGAGGGCTTGGTTGACTGGCCCCTGGCTCTGCTCAGCAATGGGCCCCGAGGCGGTGAAGCTGTTGGAACCTCCCTGCCAGAAGATCCTTCAACCGCCTCACACCCCAAATGACCCGAATAATGCTTAAGCCTCAGCTGTGGCCGGAAGGATGCCCGGACCCAAACTGAATGCCTCTCCGGGCATTTAGGCTTTTGCATGAAACTAGACATGGGGACAGTTTTTTTTTCCTGCCCGGACATCAGGCACCGGCTGCTCCCAGCCTGTTCGCAGGCAGAGGGGAAAGCCAAGCCTTGCCAACTCTTGCTTCTAAGTAGTGGGTCTCTCAATGTAATGGCAGATGCATGGCCTGCAAGAAGCATCCAACTGCTGCAACGCACCGATTCAGATGCCTGCCCCTCCTGTATTTTCAGGGCAACCTCCCCTCAGCCCCGGCTTTATAACAGCCCATGGCAGGTGTTCCGTCTCGGCAAGAAATTAAAAAAGATGGGTTTGTTTCTGGCTTCCAGTACGTTTTTTGGCTGGAATGAGTCTCAGCCCTTTGCATGAGAATTCTCCCAGGTTTGTTATTGGCAGCACAAGGGAGGAGCCCAGCAGGTTTACCATCATGGCGTGATTTATTCCAGGCACACATGAGAAACAAGTGAGCACTGCAGCCACCACCGTAAAAGCAAGGAAACTGAAAGCAGCCTGGAGAAGATGGGAGAAATGTGTGGACTCAACTCCGTGCTGGCTTCGCTGCTGTGGCCCTCTGCGTTCTCAGGCTGTTCAGACAAGAATCTGCTCAACGGGATGGAAAAGGCTCAGATGTGTGGTGTATGTGTGTGCTCACACATCTATTCAGTCAGCCCTAACCCTGTTGATCTCTAGATGCTACGCCTGATGCCAAGAGTGGCATTTTGTTTAACGTACAAATAAAAACAAATGCCAAAAAATTAAAAAATTCTTCCCAAGTCATTGTGATTAGGAAGGTTAACTGTGCAAAAAGAGCAAGTGAGGGCATTCAGTTACCTCCAGAATCCCTAGCTGCTGGCAGCATTTGAGTGATGAATAGCTGTCCTTACTGCCCCAGCCCTTCTGCCCATCATCTGCAGAGAAAGAGGGCCGCAGCCCAGTCTGAGATGCAGAAAGCCTGAGAGAAGCAGCAGCAGGTCAGGTTCTGGCTGATTCCTCCCCCCCCCCACCGCCGCCCAAGAAGCGGAAGCAGCTGATTTCTCATTGGAAAACATTGTTGATTAAAAAGATCCCAGTTCCCAAAAGCACCCCCTCCCCTGGGCCTGCCATTGATGGCAGCGGGCAAAATCCGAGGAATTCCAGAGGGTCCCTTAATGTGCTTCCCCTGTTTCTGACAAGGGCGCTTGTAGACCCTCCAAAGCGGCCGACGGAGCGTCCACCCCGTTCCTCAGACGCGGTGTGTGTGTGTGGCGTGGTGGATCACCACGGCTGCCCTCATCCGTGGCCTTGCTTGTACCAGATTAGTCCCACTCAAATGAGGTCCCACAGAGAGGAGACACGATGCAGGTCATCCAGAGTGAAAGTGCCCGGGGGGAGGGTGTCTCTGAGGATGTTGAGCGAGCCCTCCTTACTCTGGACTCCTGTTACCCCAAGCCAGGTTTCTGTCTTTTAAGGAAAGGAGGCGCGAGGCTTGTGGAAAGCGATCCGAGTACCGGAGGGAGGGCTGTTTGGCCTTCTTTCCTCTTGCAGAGAGAGGGAAGCGGCAGTGGTGGTTGCCCAGTTCTGAAGTGACGGTCAAGATCCTGAGCGCGAAGGGCCTCTGGGGGCACACCCAAGCCCCTGGAGAGGCCAGGAAATTCCCAGGCTCCGGCCGTTGTTCTGACAGTGTGCACAGCTGGCTTCGTCCCGCAGACGGGAGGTCAAGGGGGCCCCTCCGTCATGGACTTGACAAAGACGATGGCGGCCAGCTCCTTGCAGAACTCCTCAAGCACCACCACCCCTTCCAAGAGCGTCTGGTGGCTGATCCTGCAAAGGAGCCAGAGGTCAGTGGAGGGAAGGGGGCTTCCCTTTCCTCGCTTGCTGCCCTTTCCTCGCCCCCTGGTACAGACAAGGCCCTTCTTCGTAGATGCGTCAAGGGGTATGCAACTTCCCACCCCACCCGAGCCAAGGAGGGAACGGGAGCTTGGCAAAGGCCACAGAGTGCTCTTGTGGCAAGTGAGGTTTAAAGCGGGAGGGGGCCCTCTTCTGCTGCAGCTGGGGCCCCTGGCGTGGGCACTCTTTGGCCCATCAGGATGGCCCTAGTGGTCCCAAGGGAAGGGCAGGCAGGACCAGCGTGCGCAAGGCAGCAAATAAGAGGAGCCTCGTCCTGCCGGAGATGCTGCCATGCGCTCACTCGGCTGCAAGAGAATCCACCCCCCCACTTCCCAAAAACATGGCTCATCAAACCTTTCCTCTGTTTTTCCTTCTCGTATGACCAGATGTCCACAAAACCCAGGTCACCCTGAAGGTGCACCAACTAAAGTCATTTTTGGGGGTAGGGGGGGAAGACGCAGAGGGGAGTTGGAACGCTGCCTGGAGAGCCCATCTCAGTCCGTCGGCACAACCACCCCCGCACCGACAGCAATTTGGAGAAGGCAGGGCCAAACTCCATGCTTGTGTGGTCTGAGATACGCTCTGTCCTGACGCAGAGAGGCAGGCCTGCCCGAGCGCCCCCTCCCCGTGGGCCGGGCCTCTGCCCAACGCTCACCGCTGCTCTTCAGGGACCAGCCCCATCAGCCGCCTCCGGACCAGCAGCAGATTCGCAGGGAAGTCGGGCACTCGATGGATCCTCTGCATCAGGTCCCCAATGACCTAGAGGGAGAGGCTGCCGTCAGGGCGCTGGACCAGAGGCCGAGGGAAAGGCATGGTGCAAGAGCAACTCTTGGCCCCTCCCCTCTTGGTGACCTCTCTGGATGCTGCTCCCCCCCCCGGCTTCCCACCACTTGCACAGTCCCCACCGTCTCCTCCAGGCAAGGCCGGACGTTACCCTGATGAGCACCGAGAAGAGGTTCCTGCAGCCGGGAGCGAGTGGAAGGTAAGGGTCCAGCAGGTACTCGTGGAGGTGGGGGTGAGGGAAGAGCGCCAGGCGGGAGAGCACGGACGTCACCTGCAGGTTCACTGCGTAGGGCTGCAGGGAAAGAGGCACCATGGAGAAAGGGGGTGTGGGTGTGGGTGTGGGTGGGAGAGGAAGAGAGCAGAAAGGAAGGGGCCTCCTCCTCTACCACAGCCTGTGCTTGACACGGCACAGGAGAAGGTGCCTCCTCCCCATCGTGACCGTTCCTCCCCTCCCTCCTCCCTGCGGCTTCCAACCCAAACCCCAGGGCTGCTCATGCCGGCCGGAGGCCAGTGAAAGCCCCGGACGGTTCTGTCTGCCTCACCTGGTCAAGGATCCGCGTCAGCCGGTCAAAGAGGACCTTCAGGAAATGGCCCTCGTAGAAGCTGGGTCCTCCCAGGGTGCAGCTCCCCAGGGGCCGAGGAGCCGGAGGCCAGTTCCACTGGACAGCATGAGAGCGGCATTCCCGAAACTGAGGGAAGAAGAAACAGATCATGGCAGCCCAAGCAGAGAGCGGGAGGGTGAGGAGCCAGGGAGGCCCTCCCAGGGACGGGAACCCGCTCTGCATACACTCCTTGAGGGCGGGGGTGCCTTCATCGGGGGTGGGGGGAGGAATGCTGTGCTGAGAGGGCAGGTGGAGGGCCGGGGCAGGCGCCGACTCACCAGGGTGTTCGCGTCATGGACGTAGGCGTCGTATCCTGCCTCCTCCAGGTAGGCAGAGGTTTTGGCTTCGCTGGGAACGAGGCAAAGGAAGCTGCAGGAGGAAAGCAGCCGGCAGGAGGCAAGGAGCGGTGAAAACAACGCCCTTTTGGCAAGAGCAGAGCAAACGAACCCCCGCAGAGATGAGGAGGGGTGAACTGAAAGCCAGCCTGAATGCTGACGGCCGCTGCGTCCTTTCACTCACCCCAGCCAGAAGGTTTCACCCTTGAGCCCAAGGGGAGCACCCCACCCACCATGCCAGCGGTCGGTCAGACCTGCAGGGCACCGTGCCGAGGGGGCGGGGGTAGGTTTGGCCCGTGGAGGGAGCGTGAGCTTTGGAGAGAGCTACCTGCTGACCACCTCTTTGACGTCCGTACGCCCTTCGGACGGAGCCCGCGGCTTGAGAACAGGAAGAGCCCGCTCGGTGGAGGCCGGGAAGGTGACACTTGGGAACCCATCCATGAAATAGGGATCCTCCTCCAGGTCTCTGCTGGGACAAAGGAAAAGCACCGAGCATCAGCGGTTTCATTTTGTTTGGTTTATATTGAAGCCGATAGGAGACATGACGCTGCCACCCAAAAAAGGATCAGGATTTAACATAAACAATTCAACACCATGCTACAGGATGAGGACACAAGATGGTCAATGCCCTAGAAAAAACAAATTTCAATTTAAAACCTCAGGGGAACCAGAAAGGTTCTAGCCAGAGGCTGGAAAAAGAGCACCACCCTCCAGCCACGGGGGGCCGCCCAACCCACTTACAGCCCATCCTCGGAGGGCTCTGCCTCTCGGGGGCCGGGAGGCTCTTCCTGCCCAGAGGGGCTTCTCAGGACGTAGCTGCGCTCCTCCAAGTGGCACAGCACCAGGGCCTGCACCACGTGTGGGTCCGGAAGCCGAAGCAGCTCCTCAAAGAGCCTTAAGCTGGCTCTGCTGATCTGCAGAAAGGAGGAACGGGTGAGCAGAAGGCCCCCAAAAGCGGAGGCCACACCAGGGCATCTCGCTCCAAGCAGGAAGCAGGAGCTTAAGGGGGAGCCAGGAACTGCCCAGGGGTGTGTGAAAGAGACCCAAATCCTGCCTTATTAAAATAGGAGCGCCTGAACGGAACCACCCGCGGCCTCTCCTTGGAGGCCTTCAAGAGCTCCAGGTGGCCTATTTATTTATTTATTTGATTTATACCCCGCCTATCTGGGCGACTCGTCCACTCCAGGCTGTCTAGGGAAAAGCACCGCCTGGAAGCCCATCCATGGAAAGCAGCTCTGTCTTCCTGTGGCTGACGGGAAACCTCAGTGGGCCTTGATCTTCAGCAGCTCCTTCCCTTGGGCCAAGCAGAAGGCCTGGTGGCAGGTGGGCCTTCTCTGTCCTGCTCAGGAGGTGGGGGCGAGCGGCTGACCTGACGGCTACCCCATGAATACGCTGATCCTCTGCCTGGAGGCACCGCTCGCTCTTATTTGGGATTCCTGCTGCACGTGGCCTAGGGGCTGGTGACACAGACCAGGCTGGGCACAGGGAAAGGGCTGCCCTGATGGGGCTCTTTGCCCGCAGGGCCCTTCAAGCAGCAGCCACCCCGGAAGGCAGGACGTGGTGAGTTCCAGCCAGCTCCCCCTGCCAAAAGACATTGTGGCCCCTCACTCTAGAAGCTTTGGGAAAAGCCAACAGGCCTTCGTGACCTGGAGATGATGAGCAAGCAACTATTTTCATAGGCTCAGGATCCCAGGCATTCCAAACAGGTCCCGAGTTAGCCGGAAGGGTGAAGGGCCACTCCTCTGACAGCCTGCCCACCGGTCACGCCTTTGACCTCCCCTGCTTCTGCTGCAGTTTCTGATCTGGGGCCCAGGAGCAGGCCAACCACCCTCTCCCAGCAACATCCAACTTGCCTCGTCTGACAGATGGTTGCAGCGCTCAATCAGGTGGGAACGCAGAAGGTGCCGGTGCTGCTGATCGGGGCCCTCAGGCTCCTCCACGTCCCCCAACACAAAGACAACCAGTTCCCGGAGAAGGGCAGGAGCCCTAATGTGCCTTGCCAGGCTGGTCAGGAGAGCCGTCGAGAGGAGGATGCCATCTTCTGCCCTGGCAGGGAAGGCCAAGCTGAATGAGAGGAGCTGTCCCTGGCTGAGGGTTGGGGGACAGGCAGCTGAGGGGCAGCCACAGGTGGGGAGCTCCTCCCCACCTTCCTCTCCCCCTCCCCTCCTCCCTGCTTCCAAGTTGCCCCAGACTCACATCTGCAAGAGCTGCGGCTGCAACATCCCCAGGAAAAGGCTCTGGCCCACGGCTTCACTGACAGCTCCTGCAACAGCCTGCACATACGGGAGGGGAGGGGGTTCGCTCCGTCAAAGTGGCTCACAATCCTGCCGCTCCCCAGCCCTGCCCGCCTGCCTGCCCGCCACAGAAAGGGGGCCGAGGGGGTGGAAGAAAAGGCCAAGATGCAGAGAGTGATGGGAAGAAGAGGACACTAAGGGGGGCGGGAGGGAAAGTTTCTTACCGGATGCGCCTCTTTCGTGAGGCAGTCGCAAAAATCCAACCAGCCAAAGAAGGCCTCCAGGTCCCGCTGTCCTGGGAAGGCACCCCCGTCCTCGGCCGAGCTGCCCACAAGCCTGCAAGGCGGGGAGAGGGCGGGAGGCGGCCCAAACGCCAGGGCCAGGTCAGCTTGGAGGGCTTGGCTCACCTCATCCCCTCCTTCAGCACAGGAAAGCCCCCACCCTTCTCTTCTGCCTCTCCGGCCACCCGGACTCTGGCCTCCCCCCCCTCACTCTCTGAGAGCGACAGGGACCAGCCCAGACGGACTGCTGAGACTGGCTGGTCTCGGGATGACCCCGGAGGGCGCTCTCCTTTACCTCCAGCTGACGGGCGGCAGGGTGAGAAGGTCAGCAGGGCTGAGGGTCGCTGGGATGGCCTCAAGCAGGGCGCAGAGGCGGTCAGCCAGGAGGGGGCCCAGCCTGCCCTCTCGCGTCAAGGCCAGGGCGGCTGCTTGGTGGTCCATGCTGGTGAGCAGCAGCAGCAGCTCCTGCGCCTTCAGAGCCACCTTCCTCTTCTGCAGGGGTGAGAAAGGGGCCCTCCTGCAGCCTCTTGGGAAGGGTCCTCCCCCCCACACACACACACTCGCAAAGAGCTGCTTCTAAGGCAGCCAAAGGAGGGGAGGGGAGGGAGAGGCGCATGAGTCTCCCAGAGCCAGAGGCAAGGGCTCCCGTGGGCTCTCGACCTCCCAGTCCAGCGGCTCCATACCTTGCTCTTGCACAGGCTGACCAGAGAGGTGACCAGGTTCTGCGCAGGAGAGGTCGGTCTCGCTGGCGACACTCCATCAGGAGCCTCCTCGAGACCTGAGGGCAGAGGCCTGGCAGGGGCCGCATTGGCCCCAAACGATGCTCCTCCCGGGCGGAACGGCTGGCCCGCTGGCTTGTCCTGGAAGGCAAGAGCAGGGCAGCTGCAGTGCCGGTTGGCCCCTGAAACGTCCTGGATTTGCACTGGCCAAAGGAATGGAGGGGGGGGACACCCGGATTCCAGGCCTTCCACAGTCGCCATTTAAAAACGGCTTGAATCCATTCAGTTAAAATGGAAAGGTCTTCCCAGGAGCTGCCCTGCTTGTGGTTTGACCGGAAAGGAACAAAGGTGGACAACAGTCAGGTGGACAAACTCCCTCCACACAGGTAGACCTGGTTTCTTCCTCCCCCTCTCCCGAGGTGCCTCCCTTGGCCTCTCAGAGTCTGCCGCTGCAGCCCGATTTTCCTCCAGCCTGTCAGCACCCACCGCACAGAGGCCCACAGCAGCCCCGTGCAGTGTTCCTCACCCCCTAGAAGGAATCCACTCCTCACCTCCAGAGTGCAAGGGAGCAGAGAAGGGTCCTGTCTGATCTTGGTGCACAGCACAGCAACAAACTGGATCACTTCCTTCTCAGGATCAGGGCCTAGTGTGTCACTACCGACCTGAAGGAGCTTCTGTAGAAGACCCATGGGAGGTGGAGGAGCAGAATGGGAGAAAACAAGAATCAGCGATAGATCCAAGGTGAAGAGAGCAGCAAGGCGCCCTAGGACACCCACTGGGGCTCTGAACAATGCTGACAATCAGGAAGAACAGAGTCAAAGCATGCAAGTCTAGTCTGTTTTCAAAACAGCCCCAGGCTGCAAGATCTTGCTTCTATTCCCAAACTCATGTCACTTTGACACAATGTTTAAAGCATACACAACAGCATGGGCGCCAACTTGCAGGAGGCTTTTGGGCAGAAAGAGCTGGTGGAAAGTTACCAACAAGGTGGTGACTGTGCCTCCTTTTGCAGGGAAGGTCCAGAGAAAGCCCAGCTGACTCACCCAGATCGCACTCACCTGGACAGGCCTGTAGACGTTCAGGTAATGCAGCAAAGGGTGTTGCATTTGTCCCAACAGGCGGCTGAAGAAAAGGAGCACCTGGGATCTCATCCCTGGAGGATACTGGGGGACAGGAAGACAGGCAAGAATCACTCAGGAGAAGACAACCTATCCAAACACTGGCGCCTGCTCTACTGTCAGTGTCCCTCATTGGGTTGAAACAGTCTTCCGAGGAAGACAGGCTTCTGATTTTTCCCTAGAGGTCTATAAGTGTCTCTAGAACTCCCGTCCAGCCATTGGACCCTCGGACTGGGCAATCAGATAGCATATTAATTGTACTGACACAAACAAAGACAAACCACTCCAATCTCACTATATGGGATGTGGTTCCTTTGCTAGATCTAAATGCAGGCGCATAGCACCCATGGACCCCCAAGAAGGAACACAGAATAAAAGCACAGCCGGAGAATAAATAAATGGATGTGTTTCTTAAGTAGGAAAAGAGTAGGTATGTTTCTTCTGGGAGTTCCCTCATGACAGCGCCAGACCTTAAAAGGCCCTGCTGTGGGGAATGGCAGCCCAAACCCATCAAGTCACGGGGCTGGCACTGCCAAGTTGCCCATCCCAAGGCAAGTTGCGACACGACGGTGCCGCTGTTCCTCTTGCAAGAAAAGGGGCCTCCACAGAGGCCACGAGCAAGTCTCCTCTGCAAAGGGAGGACACTTTCAACAGCTGCCGACCAACGCGCGGCAGCCGAGGTGGCCACCGTGGCACAGAGAAGGCAGCTCGGGAGCAGGAGGCAAGGCTACCTCAGCTTTCCCCAGGGCGCCGAGGGTCTCCAAGACTTTGTGTTGAAGCAAGTACTCCAAGCAGGGTCCCGTCTCCCCCACCGGCTGCTGCTTCTCCTCGTACACCAGGATGTCCAGCATCTGTTTCAGGTGCCAGGGAATGTCCGTCTGCTTCGCAGGCTTGCTTTCATCTTGAGAAGTGAGAAAGGTCCCGATAATAATAAATAACAAGCCATTTCATTTGTGAAGAAAACAGCTCTCAAAATTTTACTTGGCAAGGGAGAAAACCAAAAATAAAACTGAAATACGTGCAAGACGACAAGACGACAAGGAGGATGGGGGTCTGCCAAACCTCCAATTATATTGTGAGGCAGCAGCACTACAAGGGCTCAGAGAGTGGATAAGACTGGGAGGATGAAAAAAATATTAATACTAGAAAGCAAAGATTTAAAATATGGACTTCACACGTACTTATGGTGTGGAAAAAACAAAGTGAGGCGCCCGGACTCCCCCTCCCCCTCTCGCTTGGATCCCTGCCCCGGGGAAGGCACCGGCTCTGGCTGCCTACCTGTGGCCTCCAGGTAATAGTGGGTGATGCCCTTCCAGTGCTCGGTGAAGGCGGCGGGCAGGTCCAGGCGGGGCTCCTCCTGCGGGCCGGAGGGAGGGAAGGAAGGGAGGGAGGAAGGAAGGAAAGGAAGGCAGGAAAGGAAGGAGGGAAGGGAGGAAGGAGGGTGAGCGCCCAGAGAACGGGGACGGGGACCGGCCCCCACCGCCCGCGTCCCCGCCTCGGACTACAAGGCCCAGCCCGACGCCCCGGGCAGCTGCGATGGGAGTTGTAGTCCGAAAGATCAACGCCTGCCTGCCCTTCTCCCCCCCGAGAGAGAGG